AAAAGAAAGGAGTACATCAAATATGATTGGAGATATACCCAATAAGATGAAGTGGAAGATGCTTGATATGTTATGCGAAATGGCTCAAGTTCAAAACTCACCATCAATAATTTTACAAGGTAAAATTTGAGAAACCAAATCTAATTAAATCTGATGAAGTTGAGCACCAATTACAAGTGGAAATTGGGAAGCAATTTCACTTGGGTGGCAATTGAGAAGCAATTGCACTTGGGAGCCGATTTCATAGAAATTGGAAATGGGAGCTAGTTTCAGAGAAATTGAAATTGGGAGCAAGTTTCAAAGAAATTGAAATTGGGAGCAAGTTTCACATGGAATCAATTCAAATTGGGAGCCATTCAATTCAAATTGGGAGCCAATTGAGATTGTAGTATGGGATGCAATTTCAAAATGGAGACCAATTCAAATTGGGAGCCAATTGAGATTATGGGATGCAATTTCAAAATGGAGACCAATTCAAATTGGGAGCCAATTGAGATTGTAGTATGGGATGCAATTTCAAAATGGAGACCAATTAAAAGAAGACTCACATGGAATCAATTCAAATTGGGAGCCAATTGAGATTGTAGTATGGGATGAGCCAATTGAGATTGTAGTATGGGATGCAATTTCAAAATGGGGACCAATTAAAAGAAGACATTGAGGAGCAATTGAATTGAGATGAAATTCAATACCAGGAGAAGTTTGGGAGCCAATTTCGAAGTCAAGAATTGGAAGGCCAATTTCGAAGTCAAGAATTGGAAGTAATTGAAGCACCAGGAGAAGTTTGGGAGCCAATTGCAAGTCAAAGTCAATTGGGAGCCAATTACAATGGAGAAATTCAAATTGGGTGCCAATTACAAGTCAATTGAAATTGGGTGTTAATTACAAAGGAGAAATTCAAATTGGGAGCCAATTACAATGGAGAAAGCCAATTACAATGGAGAAATTCAAATTGGGTCGTCAATTGAAATTGGGTGTCAATTACAAAGGATAAATTCAAATTGGGAGCCAATTACAATGGAGAAATTCAAATTTGGTGCCAATTACAAGTCAATTGAAATTGGGTGTCAATTACAAAGGAGAAATTCAAATTGGGAGGAAGTTCAAAGCCAGTTTGAAACATCAGAACACCCAGACGTGAGAATGAAGAAGATGAAGAAAAACTTACAGTGAAGAATTTCTCACAAGGAAAAATACTAGTCTAACTAGTATGGGATTAAATAGAAGAATATTTTTTAAATCCCAAACATACAAGGACCACTTCAGAGCTGATCAGAGAAGCCATTCTACACCAAAACAGAGACCCAGATATTCCCTCTCAACGTAAAACCAGATGAATATCATATGAAGTTTGGGAGCTCATTTACATGGAGTTGAAGCTCTAACAACGGCTACCTTATCTCTTCTGACACTTTGCCGAAGATAAGATAAGATCTCTGACAAAAAGATACAAGATTTCAAAAATGAGATCTTCTCTTTCTAATGGACAGATTCTCATTACCAGCTATAAAAGGATGAAGATATGAAGACTTGAAGATCAGGGGAACATACGAACAAAGAGCTAAAAGAGCATATAGCAAAAATCTCATTTGGTACAGAGCATACCAAAAATCTTCAAGTGAGAAGTGAGAAAAGAAAAAGAACTCAGAGAGCTTCAAAGAAAATATTCTGAGAGTTTTTAAACAGAGCAAAACAGAGCATAAAAATCAAGTGTTTTACTTGATATACTCAAAGAGAGAAAACACTCAGATCGTTCAAGAGAAGTCATTCCAGAGTGTTTTAATCTTCATCAAAGAGACCTACGCATCATTGAAGATCAACTACAGAGTCTCGGAGTTAGAAGCCAGACAACACTTGTTTTGGAGCAAAACAAGAAAAGGGAGGAAAGTAGCACGAAGCTGTGAAATCCTGGATTGTCACACGGAGCTGTGAGATCCGAAGCAGCAGTGTCGGAGGCACTGGGCGTGATTTGTGCGGGCTTTGTGATCAAAGCACTAGATCACGGGATACGTTTCTACCGGAGTGTGGAAGACGGAGGGAAAGTAACACGGAGTCGTGAAATCCTGGGATAGTAGCGCAGCGACGTGAAACCCGAAGCAGTAGTGTGGTGTCACTGGGCGTGATTAGTGCGGGCTTTGTGATCAAAGCACTAGATCACTGAAATTCATTGTATCTTGGAACCAAGAAGTGGTAGATATAGTGAATTGCTCTTGGAGATAAGAGCAAGTGGAGTAGGAGGATTACACCACCTCGCGAACCACTATAATTGTCTTGTGTTCTTTACTGCTTTCTTTATTTAATGCTCTTTACTTTATTGCTCTACACGATATATACTGCTCACACAATCTCACACACACTTTATCTTTATTTAATTCCACTGTGCACCATACTCTAACAATCTCGTTAAGAGTTTTGGTTTATCTCTGGCTTAGCAATTGTTGTGCTGTGCGAAAAAGTTTGAAAGTCTATTCGCCCCCCCCCCCCCCCCCCCCCCCCCCCTCTAGACTTTCACCTTACCTCTTTTGGGACCAACAAATACTAAACCTAAGAGTTAAAAGTGAGGTTCTAAAATTAAAAAAAAAAAAAAAAAAAAACAAATCATAAACTCTAAAATCCAAACACTAAGAGCAGTGCAATTTTTAAAGTGCAATTTTTTAATACTATAAAGTTCATTTTTTAACAACATAATGTGCATTTATAGAAAAAATCAGAGTAAATACCACTTATGGTTCCTCGAGTTTGGTGGCATCGCCATCAATGGTCCCTAACTTCCGTAATTACCATCCGTCATCCTCCGAGTTGTGAAAAGTTACCTTATAGCGTCCTTCCGTTACTTCCTCCCGTCTCAGCCGTCAAAATGTAGGGTAATATTGTCATTTGACTTATACGAAAAGAGTTAATACCAGCCAAGGTCACTCGAGTTTGGTGGTTTGGCCATCTTTAATCCCAAGTTTGGGTGCTCAAAGATGGAATTGGATATCTTAGCAAGATTCTGTTGTCAAACCAAGGTCCCTCGAGTTTCGGCACGACCTCTCAAATCGACCGCATCCTCTGTCCACCTACGCCTCGTCATTTCCTCCGCGACTACGTTTCCCCCAACAAGCCATGCCTCATCTCCTCCGCCATCAACCACTAGCCGGCCACCACTCTCTGGCACTCTACCAAGTACCTCCTAGACGCCCTCTCCTCCTCCACCGTTTCCCTCCACCTTACCCCAATCGTCCGAGCTGACTCCGCTACCTCCCTTCCTACCTCCCCTTCTTCCCTCTGCTTCGCCTTAGCACATATCGAGCAGCTCTCTTTCCCTAACGCTCTGTCAATGGTTCTCCAATCCGACAACAGTTCCACCATCGCTTACCTGCAGCAACAGAATGATTGCTTCCGTTCGGAGTATGAGGCTCTCGGTTCGGACTGTGAGCCCCATTTTTCCTGGGCATCTGAGGCACTGGGATGCCTTCCTGATGTCGTGAACCTCTGGATTGGGAATGATTTGTCAGAGACATCATTCCATAAAGATCATTATGAAAATCTATACGCCGTGATCACTGGGGAGAAGCATTTTCTGCTTCTTCCTCCCACGGATTTCCACAGGATGTATATTAGAGAGTATCTGGCTGCTCAATACCACTATTCCCAGGTTTAAATTTCTTCTCTCATTATCATATCATAAATTTTTTTCTTCTCTCATTATCATATCATAAATTTTTTTTGTGTGAATATATATGAATTCTGCTAATATGTAGGCAATGGCGTTGAGAGAAATTGAAGAGGAGAATACTATACATTTGTAAATTTTCTTTAATATTGTATAGGAGAAGAGGGAGTTCGAGTTGGAAGTTGAGAAACCACCAACTTTCTTTAGTATTGTTTGGCAAAGTTTGGGACTAAAGATGGCCAAACCACAAAACTCGAGGGACCTTGGCTGGTATTAACTTTTTTCGTATAAGTCAAATGACAATATTACCCTCCATTTTGACGGCTAAGATGGGAGGAAGTAACGGAAGGACGCTAGAAGGTAACTTTTCACAACTCGGAGGATGACGGATGGTAATTACGGAAGTTAGGGACCATTGATGGCGATGCCACCAAACTCGATGGGCCATAGGTGGTATTTACTCTATAGAAAATCATGAGTAGTGCGAAATGTAGTATTAAAAATTGTACAGTAAAATTTTCAATAATTACAAAAATGCCACTACAATTTAGTTATTATTTTAAATTTGATATGATCATTTTCATATTTCCAAATTTAAAGCTAAGATTAGTTTTTAATTTTCTTAAGGAGGTATGTTGTCATATGATTTTTTATATATATAATTATATATAGGCACTGGATTAAATGAGAACAAGTCCTTAGAAGAGAAATAAGAATCAATCTCAACGTTACATTGGAAAAATCATACGGATCAAGTCAAATTTAAAAAAAAAAAATGCCGTGGCCTTTTCGTAATTATCACTAACTTTACTATGCAAACTTGAACACTAAAATCTGTAATTCTCAGGCTTTTTCAGATTTGCACATTTAGTATTAACATTGTGCACATTTATTATTAACATTTTGCATATTTAGTATTAAAATATTGCACTTACAAAAATGCAAAAGTGCATTGTACTTAGGGTTTCAATTTTAGAGTTTATGATTGACTTTTTTTATTTTATTTGGTTTAGTGGTTCACTTTTTACAATTTACACTAGTACAAAATGGAGCAAAGAAATCTGACTTTAGGCTACCCTTCTTTAAACAAAGGTAGTGTATTCTAAAAAAAAATAGGACGGTGGCATAATTGTAAATAAATGAATAAGAAACTGCTACCCTTTTAAGAAAAAGGGAAAGCGGATAAACTTTCCGCTACCCTTTCTTTTAGAAAGGGCAACGGAAACTAGATCGGGAAATTAAAAAAAAATAAAAAATAAAAACTAAAAAGAAAAAAAAAAACAAAAAAAAAAAAAAACTCAACGCCTCTTTGGTCTTCACAAACCAGATCTCACTCTCACACCTCTCCAACACTCTCCGCCGTCGCTCCTCACCACAGACCGCAACTCCGCCGTCGCTCCTCACCACAGACCGCAACTCCGCCGTCGACACCGCCTCTCTCACCACGATTCCCTCAGCCCCGATCAAACGCCGCTGCCGACACCAAGCTAAGGATTCAAGCGCCACTCTCATCAGCCACCCATGACGCCCCTCTTCTTCTCATTAGCTACCGGTGACTAGACCCAGCTGAAAACGACGCCTCCAAGTACTGTCGACGACGCCTGCCACGTACTGTCGACGACGCCTGCCACTGACGTCGCCACCGCCACTGTGGTTCTCAGCCGCCGCTGCCGGTTCCACTATTGCTAATACGATAAGTTTTTTAGTATATAAACTACAATTAGCTCTGTTTAGACAGAGATTGCTGATATCTGTTTTCATTTTGAGCAGATGATAGCTGTTTCGGACTAGGTTTCAACCTGGGAATTGAAGTGTAATTTCTCTTTTCTAGATGATTCTTCTTTTGGGCTTTTCGATTATTTGCTTAAGGAACCCTTAATTGCAGATACAATAAGCATGAGATTGGGGTGGGGGATGAAAATAATTAACCCGGACCTCTAATTTAGTTAAATAATGGTTTAGTCCACAGATCACTTCTTTAACACTGGTATAGAAAGTAGGATGAGTAGTTGAGGGTCTTCTGACTTCTGCTTTAACACTGGTATAGAAAGTAGGATTAGGTGCCTATACAGCAAGATAACATGACAGGTGCTGCCCAGACTCCAGGCCCTGGATTCACAAACAATTCTGTAGATGGTGAGAATGGTGATAACGGAGTAATTCATAATGATACTGGTTTCAGAGAGGGACCCAACTGGAAAACAGTAAGTGGGAGTGCTGACCTAAAGGAACGATGAATGTAATTACCATAGATATTGCCAATTCTAAGTGAAATTCCTCATATAGTTAGGTAAAAGTAATATAGGCTGATCACTGCCTTTTTCTTTTTCGGTGAGCAGTATGTTTTGGGCAGCACTGATAGAAAACTTGGAATACAAAAACACTACTTTATTATATATTGTTGCTTAGTAATTCATACTCAACGTTTGATTTTATTTAATTTTATGCTCTATATACATGCCTATAATTGTAGAACTTGTGGAACTTAATCTTGGTGTGAGAAAGATGAACCATACTAGTCAGGGTCAACAATAGCCTGAAGGAAGACACGATGATGATACTGCCATCGCTGACTTCCTCACTTCATTGATGGATTATACTCCCACAGTGAGATTTTTCTCAATTTCTGCAAATATATGATTTTGTTTTATATAATCTTGTTTTGTAGACTATAGAGCAAATTGGTACAGAAAAAAAAAAATATCTTGCTTGATTTTCCCCATTAACTTAGAAAGTCTACAAAGTATCAATGTAGGACACCTAAATTTACTGTTTCTCTCTAACAAATTTGATCAGATTCCTGATGAATTAGTGGAGCATTACTTGGCTAAAAGCGGGTTCCAATGTCCTGATGTTCGATTATAGGTATTCTCTGCCTTATTAAGTGTTCTTGTTAGCGATAGTGCATATTGATATGTAATTTTAGTTCTTTATCTACCTATAAATCTGGCAGAGTTTGGGGTTAGGATGGCAGATGACAATGGGTTTAAGGCTGTAATTCACATTCTAACTTCTCTATTTTCATCCTCTTTTTAAACTGGTCCTTCTTCTTCTTCTTCTTCTTCTTCTTCTTCTTCTTTTTTTTCTTAATCTTTTTGCACATACATCTGTTTCTATAACTTCATGAAAAAATTTCTTCATATATTTGTTGTTTATTAGTTAGATACTGGAGTGTCTTCTCATATAGTTTACACCATTACTTCATATATTAAACACAACCGGTTGAAGAAATTAAGCTTATGGGGTTGCTTTGGCTTAGATGTTAGCTTTTAATTGTTATATCCTAATATGTGTAAAAAAATATGAATTTAATTGTTATTTTTGTTGGGATTATATTATATACTAATGTGTGCATAAATATTGTGTAGACATTTTTTATTAGTAATTATTTGAAAGATTATAAAGTGGAATCTTGTTGACATGTTTTTATAACAACAAAATGCAGGTACTTTGGTGGATTCTAAGATTTGCCATCCTACAGAATTCGATTTTTATTTATGCAGTCATGCTGGAATTCAGGTAAGTGCTTCAAAATGCAGGTACTGTGGTAGAACTGTGTTTTTGCTGCTGTATTTTATTCATGCAAAGCTGCATTATAATATGGTATCTCACGAGCATTTGTGTTTATATGGCTAACGTATTATTACTCTTGATGAAATTGATTACTTATAAAATGACAGCAAAGGAAGAAACATTGAGAAATGCTTTAGTGGTGTTGTGTATTTACTTATTTAGAAGCAGAAAAGCAAGCGCCCAGAATTCTCCATTCTTGCTTCTTACAACAGATGTTGATACCTTCGAATAGAACCCTTGAACAGGTTCGCATTTCAATCTTCACTGTAATTTTTTTGTAAAAATTATTGTTAATAGTATAAATTACTTTAAGAAGTTATATAGAGCCTTTGCCTATTGGCAATTGCAGTCTTGCAGATGGCTCATACAATGTATGAAGGTTAGGTAATTCAGCCAAGTTTGTCTAGTTGTTGACTTTATAAGTTCGACTCCCAATGCCCAATGAGAGTGGTTTATTGGCCTTTTTAGTGTGAGACGATTAGCTATAGACAATCTAGGAATGCTTATCTTTTTGTGATTCTTTACCGGTTAGGATCACAAGATAGGACCAATATACACCCTTAAGTAGTGATCCTTTGCCGGCTAGGATTACAAGGTAGAACTAATGGTTGCCAAAAAAGTTGGGGTTTTAAAACAGTTTTGAGGTTAAATCAGTATGTGTTAGTGACTCAGTGTGTCACTGAATATTTAAGTAATTTTTTAAAATTTATTTCATTGTGCAGAAGGCATAGAAAGAGGTTAGCATCATGTTGATGAACACAAGGCATTGTGGTTGATAAAGACAAAATTCATTGTGGTTTTTTGTTGGGATATTATAATAGTTATAGCAAAAAGGCAAAGTGGGTATTGCTTCAATGTCGATAATTATTTAAGGTGGCAAATGAATTGAACTGGTTCCCCATCACTCATCAACTGATCTTTAATTCAAAACGTAGATTATATTTCTTGTTTGGTGCCTTTAATTTCTCCCCTTGTTACTCAACACTAAATTCTATCACAATTGCATTGTTTCTCATTTGCAGGCCAGTAAGGATCAACTTCCTCAATCAGACATAATCAGGCCAGTAAGGATCAACTTTCTCATTGACACACCAATTTTGCTAAACTTTAGTTATGTATTCATTTATGATCTATGTGATGAATGTAGCATGCTAATCATATTTAAAGATCATGTGCTACATTCCTTATTTTTATACATGCATATATACTTAAAAGTATAAAGTATCTATCATCATATGCAAATTTATTATCTGTAAGTTTTAGTTTTGGCTGCATGCTCATCACTTTGAATAACAAATTATTACATTAGGTAAGTAAATTTATATAGAATAGCTAAATTATATTTTATTAATTAACTTATTTAGTAATTTGATTAATTAAATTATTTTGTAGGTATTTGAAGGAAATTCGTACTCTTACCAATGAGAAATAGATGAGATTCGAGACTTATGAGCAAAATATTTTTTGGAAGAGTATGTGTAACTTTTGTTTTAGATTATATGTTATATTGCATTGATATAAAGTATTGTATTGATAGTATTTGGTTGAGTGTTGATAATATTGTGTTTTGATAATTTGTTGATAATATTGTTTTTGATAGTTTGTTGATAATATTGTTTTTGATAGTTTGTTGATAATATTGTTTTTGATAGTTTGTTGATAATAGTGTTGATGATTAGTATTATCTTGATATGTAGTGTATGAAAATAGAATTTTTATAAAAATTAGGGCATTTAAAAATAAAAAATAATAATGATTTAAAAAAAAAAAAAAAAAAAAACAATCTGCTACCCTTCTTTTGTAAAAAGGGCAGCGGATGCTTAAATAAAATAATAATAAAATAAGAAAATTCGCTACCCTTCTATATTTAGAAGGGTAGCAGATTTCAACTTTCCGCTACCCTTGTGAAAGGGTAGCGAAAAACTCAAGGCTTTCCGTGTCCCTCAAATCCGCTACCCTTGTACAAGGGTAGCGGATAACCCTTTACAAGGGTAGCGAATGTGCATATCTGTACTAGTGAATTAAGGTCTTGAATTTACGGTTTAGATTTAAAATTTAGCATTTTCGTTGATTTTATAAAATTTAACAGGTTTGCATATTTAAGTATTCAAGTTTGCTAGTGAAGTAGATGATAATTACAAAAATGCCACCATATTTTTTAAAAAAATCTGATCAGATCCGCTGAATTTTTACAGATGTGTCAATTTTTTTAAAATGTAAGGCTGAGATTTGTTCTTATTTATCTCCTATATAGGATCAAGATCAAATGAAAACATGGTTCTTATGTAAAAAATAAGAAATGATCTCAGTCGTCCATCAACATTCATTAATGGTTGAGGGTTATACTAAAAAAGAACACTTGTTCAATTTTATATTTATTGAAAACTTTTAAAAGCGAAGTTAATTTTATATATAGTTATTGTAAACTTGAAAATTTATTAATAGTAAGATTCTAAGTTTGATTTCTCAACACAAAGAATGTGAATGTGTGATGTGTCCATACATTTTTTTTTTTGAGAAAGAACCTTTCACTATATATAGTGGTAAGATCAAATGAGAATAGGATCTTATAAAATGTGCGTACCGATTTCACGCAAAATTTACGTTCATGAACACATAGTATCGTCGTTATTTAAAGTTCACTTGAGAAATAAATGATATTCTCAATCCTCCAACAAAAAAGACAGACTCGTTATCTTTGATGGCACAAGAATTAAAAAAAAAAAAAAAAGTCTAAAAGTAGACAAGTTTTAATTATTTAAGTTATGATCAAATTAATTATAATTAATAAAATAGAATAGACACATAAGTATATAATATATCATATTAGAATAGAAGTTGACGTATGATTTAATTTCTTAATTTTCCATGAGCCTATGGTGCTGAGTGCTGAGACTAGAACAGCTAAGCTCATAAGGAACAAGCTAGCTAATTAAGTTACTACGATGAGGATTGGATTATCTAAATAGCATTGATGAAACAATACAGAATATAAATATGACTACAATAGAAGAGTCCTACTACAACACAAACAATATAATCCTAATACTCCCCATTAAACACAAGGTTGATGAGCCACAACGTTGAACTTGTTTCGTAGAAAAGTCAACCGTGAACCATATAGTGTCTTAGTGAAGATATCTACTAGTTGATCTATGGTAGATATAAAATTAACATGGAACTCTTTCTTAGACACTTTGTCACGAACAAAGTGATAGTCAATTCTACGTGTTTTATTCGTGCATGAAAAACGGGATTAACACACAAATAGGTAGCACACAAGTTATCACACCATAACTTAGGAAGAGAAGGAGACATACCCAGTTCCTTCAAAAGAGAAACCAACCACGTTAGTTCCGCAGATACATCTGCCAAAGCTTTATACTTAGCCTTTGTTGAAGAATGCGCTACTGTATGCTGCTTCCGACAAGTCCAAGAAACCAAATTATTACCCAGAAACACCGCAAAGCTACTTGTAGATTTTCGGTCACCCGAATCACCAACCCAATCTGAATCAGAAAAGGCATGAATATCAAAAAACTGGGATTTACTAATCCGAAGACCATAGTGAAATGTACGTTTAACGTAACGAAGAACTCGTTTGAGCAACCCCCCCCCCCCCCCCCCATGCGACGTGGTAGGTGCATGCATATGCTGACAGAGCTTATTAACTGCAAACACTACTACAGAATTCACATACAACGTCGAGCCTTTAACGTCGGCTATATACATAGCCGACGTTAAAGATTTTTTAATATTTTTATTTATTTATTAAATTTATAACATCGGCTATTAACAAATAGCCAACGTTATAAATAAAAACAAAAAAAAAATTAAAAGAAACAAATACCCTACGACGTCGGCTATCTGTCCAGTCGACGTCGTAGGGTATATTTTTATTATTTAAAAAAAATAATTTAGATATAACGTCGGCTAAACGTTATTAGCCGACGTTAAATCATAAAAATAAAAAAAAAATAAAAGAAATAAATATGATACAACGTCGGCTAGTTGTTATTAGCCGACGTTATATATTTATTAAAAACAAATCTGCAATTCGAATTTCATTCACTCCGCCTCTCTTCGCCCTAGAATTTCTTCTTCTCCCCATCGCCACCGCCTCTCTCCGCCCTCGCCACCGCCAACGCCACACCGCCCAGCCGCAACAGCCGGTCGTCGCTCCAACGGGTCGTGACTGTGAGATACTGCAACGCACCAGCAAGACTACGATACTGAGTAGGATTAGCATACGAGACAAGTGTGGCTAAGGCCTTGCAATCAACCATTCCAGCATGCTTTAATATCCTTCATATACCTCTGTTGAGAAAGAAGTAGACCACTACTGAGCGAAATTCTCTCAATTCCAATGAAAAAAGAAGGATTGCCCATATCTCGCACTTTGAACTCAACTGCCATTTTCGCCACAAGGTCAGATCGACACACGAGTAGAATTAGACCCATCAACAAGATGTCATCTACATACACTAGCAGTTATAACTAAAAAACACCATTAGAATAGATAAATAAAGAGACATTAGTCTTTGAAGGACAAAAGCCTATAGAAACCAAAAAAATCATGTAATTGTGTAAACCAGGCACAAGGAGCCTGTTTAAGACCATAAAAAGGCCACTACAAGAAACACACATGATCACAACCTGGTGGTTGGCGCATATAAAACTTCTCAAAGATGTTTCCATTGAAAAATGCATTACGAATATCCAATTGCCGAGCATTACGTCCAACCTCTCGAAGTAGCCAAAGAAAGCAACAATGGAATTGTAGTAGGTTTTACAACTAGACTGAAAGTCTAAAAAAAGTCATATCCTGCAACCTAATTAAACCCTTAGGCATAGAATTGTCTGTGTTTAATACCAAGAGAGGAAATAGTAAAGTTTAATTTTTTGTACTCTCTCCCTAAATCAGACTGAGCAGACAGAATTTTGCACGTAAAAGAACGCTCAACTAAAGAACGAAAACTGTCAAAAATTGAATATAAATCAGACTTTGCACGCATAGGATAGAACGAAACAAACCAAGCATAGTCATCCACAAATAACACAAAATATCGAAATCCATTAGAAGAAAGCAAAGGCGTTGGGCCCAAATATCAATATAAATCAACAGAGCTAACATCATCTGTGGGGAAAGCCATGTGTGCTTGCGGACTCAGAGCCTCAGAATACTTGCGATAACTTGTCAAAGCCGAATGACCCTGACCATTACAAATTTAACAACGAAGATTAGACCAAGACCGAATGCCACGGCCCCGACCCTGCTGCGTGCCATTGTCCACGTCCGAAGCCACGCTGTTGTGACGAAGACTGGCCAGACTGACCACCCCGTCGAACAACCATGACAATACGCACCATTGGCTCACCTCCATCATTAGCGCAAATAAACTCCCACGCAATAAGAGAATCAGACAACTCAGTCAGGGTAACTAGATCGCCCATCGTCAATGTAGCTACCAACGGCCAGAACTCCGGTAGCAGCCCTCGGAACACATAGAGATTCTGATCGTCGAGGCTGACAGAACACCCTACCAATGCCAAATCCTCCACCAAGACTTGTGCCCGTCCAAGATAGTCGGCGATGGAGGCATCGCCCTGACACAATGCCTGCAACTAGCCGAGAAGCCAGAGAGCTCGAGCTCGGGTGGAGGAGCCGAGACTCTGTTCGATCGACGTCCAAAGCTGCTTGGAGGTTGTTCTTCGGCAAGGTGCATGGTTTCTTCAGAGAGAGAATAAATCACCATAGACAAGATTGACTAGTCTTGCTGAAGCCAAGCATCACGAGAGAACGAAGACGACCACCGGAGAAGCCACCACCGTCGTTGTTGGGCACTGGACAGAACCGTCCACGAATCCTAGCTAGCAACCCTCGTCCACGCAAAAAAGACACTAATTGGGTTCACCAAAACAGGTAATTCCTAGAAGTGAGCTTAGTGGAAACGAAGTGGTGGGCTGGCGTTAAAGAGTTACTGGCCATAATTGGAACCGATGCAACAGCTTCGGAGACGATCCATTCAGACGGAGCATCGACAAAACCATCATAAGAACTCGAAGCGTTAACGGCCATGAGGGAATCCTGAAACTATTGATACTAGATGAGGATTGAATTATCTAAATATCACTGATGAAACAATACATAATATAAATATGACTACAATAGAACCACAGAAGACTCCTACTACAATACAAACGATATAATCCTAATAACCAGTGTTGCCAAAATTGCGCCTAGGCGCCGCCCGACCGCGGCGAGGAAGGCTGGAATCGACCTCCTCTGCGGCGGGGCGGCTAGCCGGCTGAACCGGCAAATTTTTTTTTTTTTTTTTTTTTTTAGTTGTAAGGTGTCAAAAGTTGGCACTCTAATTTCTCCAAAAAATCCTTCTTTTGCCCTTAATTTTAATTTTTTATCTATTTGGATGGTTTCAACAATATTTTGAACGATTTTACAACCACTTACGTAAATAATTTGTAAGAAAAAACTAGAGGAACCTTATGTTTTTTAATAATTTTTTTAATTTTTAGTTACA